CCCCCCCCCGCGGGTGTGTGTGTGTGTGTGTGTGTGTGTGTGTGTGTGTGTGTGTGTGTAACCCAAAGCCTCACTAGACAAGCTAGGCAAGGGACCCACCACTGAGGTGCACCCCAATCCATCAACTGGACTTCAGAGCCTGGTAGTAAGGGCCCCTTCTTGGGGCCTGAAGGAAGCCTCAAGGTGTTAGCTGTGGGGTCTAGATCCATGGTGGCCTGTTGTAGCCTCTACCCCGCCTCACCCTACAGGAAGTCCCCCAGTCCCTGAAACCCACGGCTCAGGCTTTGATGGAGCCAGCTTCATCGGGGGCATTGTGCTGGTGCTGAGCCTGCAAGCAACTGCCTTCTTTGTGATGCGTTTCCTCAAGGCCAAGGACAGCACTTACCAGACATTGTGAGTACATGACCAGCAGCAGCAAGGTCCAGCTGTCTTCCCTACTCCCTCCTGCCTGGCAACGTGGCAATGTTTCTCTATAGGGTGGTCCTAAAGACGACGACTGCCCTCCCAGCATCCCCCATGGGGTACAATACCCCTTCTTTCTCTAGTTGAGGTTACCCCTGCCAGATGTTGGGTGGGACCTGGACTCAGCCTTCAGAGTTCAGCATCTGAGGGTCCAGCTGAGTCTTTGTGTCTTTGTCTCCTCATGCTGCCAGCAGGGAAGAGAACCAGTAGGTGACAGCCCCAGGCCAGTTCTCAGCCCACTGCAGCCATGGGCAGCTGCCGGGGCCGTGTGTACAGTGTGGTTTTCTCTGAGGAAGGGCTGGGCGAGGTTTCTGTGTGTTGTGGGGCCAGTTGTGCAGCCTGCATTAAAGTGTTTCTTCTCCCAGCTGTGCCTGCTCTCTGGGAAGTGGGGTGGGGGTGGGGTCCTCACCCCTGAGTGTTCTCTCTGTCTGGCCTCCACAGAATCTGACCCCAGTGGTCCTGACTCCACCTTGAAAGGACAGAGGACTCAGAGGCCACCCTCTTGATTGCCTTACAGGCAAGCACTGGGGGTGGGATATACTTTGGCCACCAGTTTTTGATCCCTGTAGGCAGAGGGCACTGAGCAGGCTTAGCGCTGATGGCTGACATTCTTTCCTGTCCTGGGACTGGCACCTGTAGCTGGGAGCATCCTACAACCACATCATGACTCATGCAGTCAGCTGGGTGCCCAGCCTGGCGCTTGGTGTCTGCTGCTGCTTCTCACCAGCCCAGGCTGGGGTCCACCCCCAAATAAAGGACCTGCTTCCACCCATGATTCCTGGCCATGTCTTAGGCTGTATGTGATTGGGGTGGGGTGAGGGAGGGATTTCTGTCTTAGTACTGTTGTCTCCCTTTAAGATGTTTTCAAACTGTGGGAGGGCAACAAGATGGCCCAGTGGGTAAAGGGGCTATGTAATCCTAACAGCCTGAGTTCAGTCCCTGGAGCCCACATAATAGAAGCAGAGAACTGACCTTCACAAGTACTGTGCCATGTGCCTGCCCCCCAAATAGATATTAAAAATATTTAAATTAAGCTGGGCGTTGGTGGCGCATGCCTTTAATCCCAGCACTCGGGTGGCAGAGGCAGGCAGATCTCTGTGAGTTCAAGGCCAGCCTGGTCTCCAGAGCGAGTGCCAGGATAGGCTCCAAAGCTACACAGAGAAAAGAAACCCTGTCTCGGAAAACCAAAAAAAAAAAAACCAAAAAACAAAAAACCCCCCACAAACTCAAAGTCATCACAACAACAAAGAACTGCATCTGGGATAGCTTTTCTCAGGTTAATTTTATTTTTATACGTGTGTGTTCGTGGTGTGTGTGTGTGTGTGTGTGTATGTGTGTGTGTGTCTAGTGTAACTATGTGTGGTGTTTATGTAGCAGAGTATCTGTGTGCTGTGTGTGTATCGTAACTTTGTATGTATGTGTGTGTGTGTAGCATATGTGTGTGTGGTGTGTGTGTTGCATATATGTGTTTGGTTGTGTGTTGTATAACTGTGTGTGGTGTGTGTGTAGTGTATCTGTGGTGTGTGTGTGTGTTGTGTAACTGTGTGTGGTGTGTGTGTAGTGTATCTGTGTGGGGGGTGTGTGTGTTGTATAACTGTGTGTGGTGTGTGTATAGCGTATGTGCTGTGTGTGTTGCATATGTGTGTTTGGTTGTGTGTTGTATAACTGTGTGTGGTGTGTGTGTGTGTGGTATAACTGTGTGTTGTGTAGCGTATGTGGTGTGTGTGTAGTGTGTCTGTGTAGTCCATGTGAGCACACAGAGCATTCACCCTTGTGTGAATTCAGAAGCCAGGGAAGGAGGTTGGTGTCTCCCTTTGTTGTTTTCCCTCTTACTGCTATGAGGCAGGGTGTCTCACTGAACTGGAAGTTTGACATTTTGGCTAGCTGGTCAGACCAACAGCCGGAACCTACCTATCTCTGTCTGCATGCCCCTGCCCTAGTGCTGGGCTAACCCAGCCATTCCTGCTTTCTTACATGGGTGCTGGGGTTCAAATTCAGGAGTTCATATTTACACACTGAGTACCTCCCCAGCCCTCTGTGGTTTCTCTGACCCTCTTCTAGAAAGAGTATGGACACCAGTCAGGAAAGTGCTCATTCATGACGACACCGCTGGAGAGGCTAGGCTGGGTTTGGAGTCTCAGCTTTCTGACTCTAGGGTGAACAGAACACCAGGATTCCTTTCTGGAAGCTTCTGCTACTCTCTCAGTCCCTAAAATTAAGCGTCTGCCCCAAAGCCAGGGGTGGGGTGGGGGTGGCGACCAGCGAGACTCTTAGAACTCTCTGGCAAAGACTGACAGTCCTGGTACTGTTCTTGCTGCCAGGCCTGTATTTGGGACTGACTTAGAACATTCTGTCCCAGCTGTGCTAGGAGCTTGCAAGCTCAGCTAGTGCTGTCATGGCTCCGGCCTCAGTTCCTGATCTGTAAAGTGGGGTGACACCTTGGTTGAATGTGGAAAGGCTCAGAGTAGACGGATATGACCCATTCCTCTCCAGAACACCCAATACCCTTCAGGAATGCAGCCTGCAGTCTTTATCCTGCCCACCCACCCCCCATGCTCCCTCGGGGGAGTCTCTGACTGCAGCTAAAGAGCCTCATCTCTCCAAGCTGCCATGATGACACATTTGAATGCCCTGGCTGGTGTTCTAAGGTCACCCACAAGGCTGAAGACCCTTATCTGGTCTCTAACTGTGGTAATGAAGCATGGCTACCTTGGCAAATTTGAAATCACTGATGACCACAGAGCTGGGAACAGTGCTGCCAATCATACAGGTAGGGTAAGCAAGGAGGAGGTGTGAGTCCCAGACCTGATACAACTTGTAGATAACGGGAAGAATGGTCTGCTTCCATCCATCATCCTTCCCGTTCCATTGTACCCACAACTTCAGCTGTTGCCATGGACCATGGAGAAGCAAGACGGGAAACACACAGTGAGGATAATCCCAAACAACACACCCTGGTGGGCAGTAGGGCTGGGTGGTGGTGTCTGCATCTGTAATACAGGCTGAAGATCAGGAGTTCAACTCCAGCCAGGGCTACATGAGACCTTGTCTCATGCATAGGTAAAAATAATAGTAGTAGTAAGTAAATAGGGACCAGTAAGATGGATTAGAAGGTAACAGCCTGGAGCTGGAGAGATGGCTCAGCGGTTAAGAGCACTGACTGTTCTTCCAGAGGTCCTGAGTTCAATTCCCGGCACCCACATGGTGGCTCACAACCACCTTGAATGAGATCTGGTGCCCTCTGCTGGCATGCAGGCAGAAGACTGTATACATAATAAATAAATAATAAAAATCATTAAAAAAAAACAAAAAAAGAAGGTAACAGCCTGAGTTCAATTCCTACACGGCTACCCTCTGACTTCCACAAATGTCGCATGGCACACACACACCCAAATAAAGAAATGTAAAAATAAAGCCAGGTGTGTTGCATATCTGTAATCAGTTCTCAGGAGGCTGGGGAAGAAGATACTGAGAGTTTAAGGCCAGCCCAAGTTACAGAGTGATACTGTCTCAAAAACAATAGTGAACAAGGAGGTTTGAACAAAAAAAGTTCCCTAGAGCTGGGTGGTGGTGGTGCACGTCTGTCTTTAATCTTAGCACTCAGGAGGCAGAGGCAGGAGAATCTCTGTGAGTTTGAGACCAACCTGATCTACAAAGCAAGTTCCAGGACAGGCTCCAAAGTTACAGAGAAACCCTGTCTCAAAAAAAAAAAAAAAGGTCCCCCTAGGCTCATATACTTGAAAGCTTGGTCTGTTGTTGGAACTGTTTGGAGGTGTGGCCTTGTTGGAGGAGGCGAGTCACTGGGAGTGGGCTTTGAGGTTGCAAAATCCCAAGCCATTCTCAGTTAACTCCTGCTGTCTGTCTCCTGCCAGAGGCTCAGATATGAGCTCTCGGCTGCTGCTGCAGCACACCTGTGTGCTTGCTGCCATACACCCTGCTATGGTGATCATGGGTTCTGCAGCCAGGAACCCCCAAATTAAATGTTTTATAAGTTTCCCTGGTCACGGTATTTATCACAGCAATTGAAAAGGAAGACCAAGAGTGACAACCACTCCTTCCCTTGGCCCCTCCCTGGACATAACTGCAGTTACCAGTGTATTTTAGACAGTTCTCTGTGAATTTACAACCTATGTACACATGTTTAGCTTTTTTATAGCACAAAGTGGGTCCATGCTGTTCTGTAGTCATTGCTTCCTTTCAGATTGGATGCATCCTGTGGCTTGTCCAGATGGTCATAATTTATTTGCCTGGATCCCATCAATGACTGCTGGCGTCATTTCCATATTGACTCATAAGTAGCCAGGTACAGGCCGGTGTGCAAAACCTGGCCTGCTGTAGGAAGGCTTGGACAAGACTAGAGGTGGGTTATTAGAATCTCAGGGCATCCTTCTCAGGGATCCTTCCATCCCATTGGCAAAGAGCCTCAGCCTTTCCTGACACCTCAGCCATCCCAACTCCACCCACGCTGGGCCTGCCATAGGACAGGTCCTCAGAGGATTTGCTGAGTGAGTGACCTCATTCCCTCCCTTAGCCCCCAAAGCTTCATGCTCTTCTTCAGCTCCATCCTTACCTCTCACAGCTGGCCCAGGCCCACTGCCTCTAGGCACCTGATCACTGATTTGCCTACACTAACAGCTGTTTCCAAGGCTCCAGGGGATTAAAAATGCGTCAAGCAGTCACTTCCCTAAGGGTGATTCTTTCTCTGGATGGGTGTGTGTGGGGGGGTATTGTTGCACAGGGACTGGCTGGAAGCTCTGTGGCTTTGGGGCCTGTAAGGGTGGTACAACAAAATCATGGCTCATCTCTGAGCTTTGTGGTTTTTGTTTTGTTTTGTTTTTGAGACAGGGTTTCTCTATGTAGCTATGGCTGGCATTGGCCTGGAACTCACTTGGTAAACCAGGCTGGCTTCAAATTCACAGAGGTCTGCCAGCCTCT